CGTGTTTTCCTAGGGAAGGGGTTAGAAATGAGGACAAAATAACAAATATTTAATATTTTCCAAAATTATAATATTAAAAAAAGGTCCTAGGGAACAGTACCCATATGGTGGAATGGTTTTCAATACTTGAAGAAATGGGGAAAACAGAATAAATTATAACGACAAAATTTAATTGATTTTGACCAAATTTATATGGTTGACTCATATTTATTTTGGTATATACACTATATTTATATTTAGATCTAAAACAAAGAGCGTAAAAAATCCCTTTCCCTTTCCTTTTTTTTTCTTTTGGGTTGATAATAATATTTTAACTCCATTACGCATAAAAAGATCCGTTGAAATCATGATTTTAAACATGGGATAGCATAGTCATGTATTACAATGCATATTCACTTTCAAATATATATTTTCAATTTAACTTCAAATATATTTTTTATAAACTTTAACCAAATATTATTCAGACGATTACAAATATGTTGATGGAAGCTGCATGTTATTCGCTTTTATATATAGTAGCAATTTGAAAAAAGCAAATTTGAGCAATAAAGTTAGATATGGTAGAATTATAAAGAAAAACAAAAGGATAAAGAAAAGGTATTTAGTTCAATTTAGCTGAATATTCTTTACTTATTCCTCCTTCTTCTTCTTCTCATTGTGGTCATTTTTTAAAAGAAAGCAATAAAGATACAAAGAAAAAGGAAAAGCAATAGGAATTATAGACTAAGACAATAATTGTTGGATTTTGACCAAATATCAAAAGTTGTTAGCTTTAATAACCATAATAATTGAGGCTTTTTCTTGAACTACTGATCACAAATGATTGGCCAAAAGAAACAGGTTGTCAATAATAACTCCTTTTTAGTCTTCAATCCATTTGTTGGATCTACCAAATTAATAATTAATTTTTTAATTTCATACTGACAACCATCCATCACTACCATATGTTGTTGAGATTTGACCAAAATATCTTGTCCATTTTTTTTTTTTATAAAAATCCCAAAGAGAATCTCAAATTTGAGATCCAAATCAAATATGGATCAGATTTACAACATTGAAAAGATTGAATCCCCCATCCCCATCCTCCTAAAATTATTAATTACAGTAAGATTTTTGTTTAGAAAAACAAAATAGTGAAAATAAAGAATTTGTTATATTTACATAATTCTTTTTTACTTTTTTCATATTCAATCGACAACATGTAACTTGTAAATGTGCACCTCAATTGATGCAAAAGGGAAGCAAGTTCAATTAGTCATGATCTTGTTTGGTATGTATAACTAATATTAGTTATACATCATATTCGGTACTATTCTTATAATAGCAAATCATGGCATTAGCAATACCATAATTTTTAATACATGAATAAGCGCGCATAAAGACAAAACAGCCTTTTCGAAATCTTTAATACGTCAAACTAAATAGTCGACAAGAAATAAACCAAGCATAACTAATCCCAGAATTACTAAACTTATTCATACACCCTATTCAGTATTATTCTTATATATCCTACCAAACGATCTCTAAAGGTAATCGGTAGAGTATAGAATCTCTCCATCTTTAACTAGACCCTCAAATTCGAAGCTTAGGTATGAAAAAAATCTTAACAGAAAGCGCTCTTGAATTAGTCGCAACCAGAAAACAAAGAGAAGAGGTAAAAAAAAAGTAGTGTGAAAGGTTCCTCTTTGCCTCAACTTTAGTGTCTACTCAAATGAAAATGTGACACTAACTTTAGGGGTCATTTGGAACTTGTGAATATGAATGTGACACTATTCCTTTTGTGGACACCCTTCCCTGACCCCTACACACATACACCACAAAAAAAAAAACACACACATACAACAACCAAAACATTACAGCAAAATTGACAAACATTTAATGGTGTCTTCTCAGACATTGTTGGTCCTTTGAGTCATTATAAGGTAAACATATTACCTACATGTTTTATACTAATTGATGTTGATGAGAGAATTCCAACCCACCAAAGGCAGATTTTAGGCCTGAGTTTTGTAGATTCAACTTAACATATTGTATATAGT